AGTCACTAAACAAAGTATTAGTCAGTTTAAGTAAGGTACCAGATGCAAACCTTTATTGGAAGGAAGGAAAATTTATCCAAAATATATGAACAGTAACTTCAGTGATGTGAGTGGGAGAGAACCTTTCTGTTAGATGTACCAAGATTGATGTTTTCACAATGAGAGATTCCAATCTCATAATCTTGGAGGTAGTGTGTTTCCATGCATGATTTTATTATTGCTATCATTATTTATTTATTTGTCTTGCTTTTGATAGATAAAGGTAAGGCTACAAGGAGATATAACACTTCATTTTTATTAATGTTTGATCATGTGGTGGCAGAATAGCAGTGGAGGAATTAAGAGAGAAGAATGATGTGCCCAAAACAAGGAAATAGTTAAACAATTTTTGTAGAAGGGTGGGGAAGGCAGGAGTGAATTAGTCAAGGATGTTGTAGTGCTTGAGAATGCAGAAGCTGAGAACTTGGACAAGAGCCATCTGGGTCTGCTGATGGACACAGCAACAGATTTGTATTCGGCATGTAGAATAAACTTAAGGTAAAAGGACAACTGAAGATGTAGTTATTGTGAAACCAAATAGAATTAAAGAGTTTCTTAAATTGTTGATTAGGCAGAATAGAATAAAACATCTTTGTACTCTGAAGGTTGTTGTGTTTGCAGGGGTCCCCAGGATGAGGTGCGAGATGAGTGAATCTGACTCCATGTTCTCAGAAGGCTGATTTATTGTTTTATGATATGATATGATATGATATGATATGATATGATATTATACTAAACTACAGAGAAAGGATACATCAGAAGGCTAGCAAGAATGATAATGAAAACTCATGACCCTCTTCAGGGCCTCAACACAGCTGGATGGTGATTGGTCATTAAGTAAAACCAATTCACATTAAACCAATGAAACAATCACCTACCACATTCCAAAGCAGCAAAACAGGAGAAGCAAATCAGATAATTATTATTTACATTTTTCTCTGAGGCCTCTCAGCTTCCCAGGAGAAGAAATCCAGGCAAAGGGATTTTTCAGAAAATATCACGATGACACTATTAATAGGAGGAATAAATTGTACAAGAAAAATGAGGGCATGAAAAGGTGAAGTGTAATGGAATCAAAAGGTTAAAATGTAATTTTAATTTGGCATGCTCAACAGTTATTTTATCAAGAAAAATAATGAAGGAGGAAATAGGAAAAAAATGTGATGTCAGGTAAAAGATGTGAAAGGATCTAGAGCTGTGGTCAATAGAGTTGCAGAAGTCATTTGTCTAGGAAGACTTAGAAGTCATGGCTGAAACAGGGAAAATCAACAATTATGCTCAGAAGAAAGAAAAGGGAATAGAAAGGAGATAGGTTAAGATGAAAAAATGTCATTGAACTGGAAGGACTGACTGGCCATATAAAAGTTTGCAGTACTGTTGGCTAGGGACAAGTGGGAATGAAGCAGAGGAAATGACAAGATTGGTCAAACACAAGCAGTAAGAGCTCAGAAGAGGCCAGTGTTCAGTGAAAACTGCCCTGGAGAGCTGACTGGGGCTGCCCAGCGTGTGGTGAGATGCGCAGCACAGGGCTTGTGTCAACACCGGCCACAGGAACTGGAGGGAGAGACCAGAGAGAAAAAACATGAAAGGAGAAAGAAATTGGAGAAAAATACTCATGGGTTCAGATCACAGGATTTAGGAAGTATGAGGAGAGAATACCTTAAAAATTGCATTTATATGAGAAGAAAGAGAGCAAAGAAAGAGAGAATAGAAGGGATGAATAAGAGAGAAACCTGAGACTCCCAGGAAGTACTTTGATTCAGGATGGACAATGGCAATTTGCAAGGAAAGACAGTTACTTGAGTGTTGGAATAAATCAACCAAGACTCCATTTTCTTCATGCAGAAAGCAAATTCTTTATTCAAAAAGCTCATATTTGTAGGAAATATCAGAAGGAACTGTGTTAAACCTAACTGGTCAGCAATATAGTGAAGCTCAGATCATTGGTCAGAAAGGGCTATTGTATATGTCTATCAAATTTTCTGTCTCTAGATATGTTGACATTTTTGCTTTGTGTGTTCTCGTGGGACAAATATTATTGTTTACACAGGTGCATTTATTTTTCACCCTCAGAATAGATTGTGGTGTTAAACAACTTCTCATTCTTAAAATAGCTTCACATGGGAACTTGCAAATTTCTTGTAAGCTGCAGTTAGAAGAAATGACAGGCCAGCTTTGGCAATTTTAGCAGAATGAGGCCAGATTTCATAAGGCCTGTCTTTCATAATTATTCTACCTGTCTTTAATATCTCACCCTTTTAGTTAATTTAAAAAAGGCTCAAATGTTCTGATGTTAAAACATCTCGCTCTTGTGAGCTATTATCTCATTAAGGTTATCACTGGTTATCTATTAGATATGGGATAAGATACATAAAAGACTGATTACAATCAACAAAACATATCAAATTCTATCATGCCATTGGCACAGGCTTTCAGAGCATGAGAAAAGAAAATAATAATGTCCAATCTCTCTTAGGGAAATGGAAACAAATGACCATTGTTTTAAAGTCCAAATAGTTGAGACTCAGGAGAAAGTTCATTAGCTGGAAATGTTGATCTGTGACATCACTGAATGCCCTCCTGGATCCTGGAACAAGGAATAAAGAACCTCCTATGAAGAAGGTTAGTAGGAACACTTATCATGATGATAACATAAGGCTTTTGGCAAATTGCCTCTGTAGTTTGCAGACACAGCTATGTCTTGGCAGTCCTACTTCTGTTCCTGTTCTGGCCTGAAGGCTGCATGGTGATGAGGTTGTTTCTCTTTCCACTGGGCTTCATTTTCTCGGAGGCAATCAGTGTCTGATTGAACGAACGGGTGACTGCTATGAACCTGCTGATGATAAACCACAAGCACACACTCTCTTCAAGCCAATGAATCAATTAGACTCTTCTGTGGCACACTCACTTGGGATTTAGATTTGATGATCTTTTTTCCAAGTTTCTAATGCAATGCATTAGACGCAATGATTTGTTTTTTAAATTTCTAATGTACATATTACATTATTTGGATGTTCTTAAGGCACTAAATTCCCCTTCTTTTCATTTTCTTAAAATGAAATGCATGAGTTTGGTTATGAGCATGAAGAAACATCAAGGCAAAAGAATACATGCAATGAACAAGAAAATGACAGCAATCAGAAATAAGTCAGATACAACAATTAAGAATATTTCAGATAATACACATAATTAATAATACATGTGAAATTAGGTAATTAGGAATCTCTGTAATACTGTACCATCATCCCAGAGTCTGCAAACAGCTGACAAACATCAATTTAGTGAGGGCTTGGATAATTATTTCCAGATAATAATTCCCAAGCTCACTCTAAAAATAGGTTCAGCTGTCATATATAAAGGGTCAAATTGCCAAGTCAAAGTGATCTGAATCTAGTTTTGATGCAGAGAACATCTGGGTTTATTGGCATGATTCTCCATCCAGGTAGAGCCAAGGCCTGGCCACCACCCAAGCTCCAGCTGAGAGGGAATTCCCTAAACACATTTTAAAACAAGACTTTAAGAATAGCAGTTATGAGTAAAGGCCTTGGGGTTAAAGACTAATCAAACAATCTAGTAGGATCCCTCCAAAGTTTCCTTCAGGACAGAGATGCTTCAAACACAGCAAACTGCTGGAGTGCTTTTGTAATAATAACTGGGGAAAACCACTTGACTAGCAGTTTGGAGGAGGCTTTCAATGAAGCTCAGGTATATTTTATTGGAACTCTGAAAACAAATTATGAGACAGCATTGGGTCAAACCCTAGAGGGACTAGCCATAGAGCTAACCTGGTCCAAGAGATGCCTAAGCAGCTAGAGAACAAAAAAAAAGGATACTGAAATGACATGTGTCTCTTAGATAACTACAGAGATGTTAAAGCATATTAGAAACTGGCTATAAATACAGTAATAACATCTTATGAATAATGCCTGTAATAAAATCAGTAAATTCACATCATGTAATCGATATATCAGCGGTGACCATCTTAGGAATTTGAGATAACACCTTTCTAAACAGTCATGTACCTATGACAGTAAAATGAAACAAAGAAAAACACTAAAACAGCTTACAATCAATAACAGCCATAATGTAGAATCATAACTGACTCTTCTATGTCTTCTATGGAAGATAAAACAGCAGAGATTGTAATGAACAATAGAATCTTTGACAAAATCAAGGGTGAACACAGGTGTTTATCAGTGTTTCATCACAGCCGTTTTAGTCAGAGTTATTTTATCCTTTAAAAGAAAACAACTATATATCTTACAATGTAGAAAAGTAATATTTAGCTGTCTTAGATTGCAATGCAAGATGTAACCAGATGTATTCCATCACCATCTGTTAAAACCAGGTGGGGCAGTGTTCTTTATCTCTTCCATGACTCTCCCATGATCTCTCCCTCTAGGAGATATCTTCTGTTAATGGGCCATTGAGCATCACTGCATGACTGATAAAATGACATCATCCTATTGTGAGATGCTCCACCCAGAGGGAGGAGCCAAGCATTCCTACCTGGATATAAACTCAGATCAGAAGAGCAGAGGCAGCATTTTCCACTGGATTCCCAGAGGAAGACCAGATCCTTCTACATCACCAGCAGACCGTCAGAGGAAAACTTCTACAGTGGTCCTTCTACAGGATCACTACTTCAACAGAACCACATCTGTCACTCCAGGAGGACGGCAGCCACCATTTATTTGGACTGCTACCAACACTCTGACCAACAGGGTGTCAGGTTGTATTCTGACTTTGTTTCAGCAGTAAAATTTTTTTTGTGAGCTAATTGCTTCTCAGTTGCTGCAGATAAAATTCAAGGTTATAGGATTTAAGAACTTAAAATTAATTGCTGCAGGTAATCTTGGGAGAAGAGTAAAGAGGGAGCAGAGAGAGCTGCGGGCCCACAGGGGAGTGGGGCGGGGTTCAGTTCTGGGGCTTGGAGCTGCTGCGTGCACGGCGTGTTTGGTGGGACTGAGGGGCACAGCGGGACCATGGCTCGCAACGCGGAGAAGGCCATGACAGCCTTGGCAAGATTTCGGCGAGCCCAGCTTGAGGAAAGAAAAGTCAAGGAGCGAAGGCCTTTCCTTGCATCAGAGTGTAATGAGCTGCCCAAAGCTGAGAAATGGAGGAGACAGATCATTGGGGAGATTTCTAAGAAAGTGGCACAGATCCAAAATGCTGGATTGGGTGAATTCAGAATTCGGGACCTGAATGATGAAATCAACAAACTTCTGAGGGAGAAAGGACACTGGGAATACAGAATAAAGGAGCTGGGAGGTCCTGATTATGCTAGGATTGGCCCGAGAATGTTAGATCATGAAGGAAAAGAAGTTCCAGGAAACAGAGGCTACAAATACTTCGGGGCTGCAAAGGACTTGCTAGGAGTTAGAGAGCTTTTTGAAAAGGAACCCCTGCCACCCCCACGGAAGACTTGGGCTGAGCTTATGAAGGACATAGACGCTGAGTACTATGGCTACATGGATGAAGATGATGGGATTCTGGAGCCCCTGGAGCAGGAACATGAAAAGAAAGTTATAGCAGAAGCAGTGGAAAAATGGAAGATGGAGAGAGAAGCACGACTTGCAAGAGGTGAGGAGGAGGAGGAGGAAGAAAACATATATGCTGTCCACGAGGAAGAGTCTAATGACGAAAGTGGCAAGGAGAGAGAAGGTGAAGCTGGCCAACAGAAATTTGTTGCACATGTTCCAGTGCCAACTCAACAGGAGATTGAGAAAGCTCTTGTACAAAGAAAGAAGATGGAGCTGCTCCAGAAGTATGCCAGTGAAACCCTTCTGGCACAGAGTGAGGAGGCGAAGACACTTTTAGGATTGTAACAATAATGTTGGGGGTTAGGTTTTTTCTGTTTTTCCTTGTCAGTGTGGAATTTTTCCCCATTGAGTTGCACTTATGGCTGGGTGCTTGAGACAGCGGGGAGGGGGAACTCCTTTGGATTTTGGGAGTTTTCTCTTGGGTGGGTGGAGGGCACAGATACTGTGAGAATGGGGGGCAGGTAGAAGAGATGGGTTTGTGGTTGGCCTCTCTCTCTCGCTGCAGGGCTTCAGAGGACGATGGTCAGAACTGCAGCTTGGGGAAAGGAGTTGGCTGCCACCACCATAACCCAGCGGGGAACCTTTCTTCTGCTGCTGGGTCCTGCATCCCCCTGCCCTGCCAGAACATCCCACAGGTTCCAGCCATTGCTGGGGAGTTCTGATACATTCTCATCCACTGCTCCAGGATTTCTGCTCATCCCTGCCGTTCCAGACTCCTGCTTCCGAGAGTCCTGCTGGGGCACTGGGATCGGCTGCCTCAGGGTTTGTGAAACAAAGCCTCTCCTCCGTCCCTTCCCGTCTGGGCCCGGCCGCCATTGCCGCATGCTCCCCGAGGTCGCAGCACAGCGCCTCCTGCAGCCGTGGGGGAATCATCGCACCTGCCCCGCCCACCGGGAGCAGCAGCACCCCTGCTGGCTGTGCCCGGAACTGCACCAAGGGGAAAGCGCCACGGCTGGAAGCTGGGCCTGGTTCTCGGTTCTGTTTGTTACTAGTAATTAATTGTAAATGCTGTATTTATTGTTTCTGTTTACCTTGTTATACACACTAGTAAAGAACTGTTTTTCTTGCTCTCATATCTTTGCCTGAGAGCCTCTTAATTTCAAACTTCTAATTGGAGGAAGGGGGAATTCTCCATTCAAAGGGAGGCTCCTGCCTTCTCTAGCAGACACCTGTCTTGTAAATCAGGACAGATTTTGGCACCCAACAGTGGAACCTGAGGGCATTGAGAGAAAAAGAGTGAAAAAAGAGTAGCAGCTCTTGAGTAATCTAATTTGTGTGTGCTGCAGATAGAAACTTCTTTAGGTGTCATCATGTGGTCTAGCTTACCCTGTTTTGAGGGGCAAGTGGTTGTGGCTACATTTGCCCCATTTACAGGCCCATTTCTAAACGTGGGTCCTATAACTAAGGATACTGTGGCTGTTATCCAGTTTGCTTTAAGGGTTAATAAGGTAAGGAATTAATGGATTTTTAATTTCCTCTAGAAGGCAGGCACATGGATTCAGAGCTGTCACACACTAACTCTATGTTTTTGGAGTTACTTTAATAATGGTACCCACTGTGAGGAAATGACAGCAGGGGAAATCTTCTGCCAAACCTTCACCCAGCTCTTTGGATCTGCCCCGCTGTCACTATGATATTTTATGAAAAATCCTTTGCTAGGATTTTTCCCTCCTGAGAAGCTGAGAGCCTCAGGAAAGAAATGTAAACAATAACTATCTGCTGCTGTGGAATGCAACAGATGCATCTGTGATTGGTGCATTTTGGTTGTTTCCAATTAATGGCCAATCACAGATGCAGCTGGCTCGGACTCTCGGGGAGTCAGGAGCCTTTGTTATGCATTCCATTCCATTGTTTTTTCTAGCCTTCTGATGAATCCTTTTCTCTCTATTCTTTTAGTATAGTTTTAATGCAGTATTTTAATATAATATATATCATAATATAATAAACCAGCCTTCTGAAACATGGAGTTGAGATTCTCATCTCTCCACTTGTCCTGGGAGCACCCCACAAAGTATTCACCACATCCCACCAGTTTTTGAAGGGTTCAAACCTTCTCTAAATGCTAATGATATACAGTGGTTGGTGTTGCTGATAGGCCTATTCTGTTTAGCATTCAGAGATAAGGGGAGATTGACCTGGGTGACCACCCTGATACCTACCCCAGAGACTAGGGATGCTGTCCCAGAACCTGATATGGCACCAGAATCTAGGGATGCTGCCACAGAACCTGACACTGCCCCAGAGAACAGGGATGCTGCCCCACAGCCCACCTCAGAAATGAACCACCCAGACTGGGAGAGGGTTCTGATGAAGGAGAGGTGCAAAATGAGCCAGAAGCTGAAGGGAAATTCCCAGCTGGTGGGAAATCCTTCCCTGCCTTGAAGACGGAGAGTCTGATGGTGCAGCAGCGGAAACCACAGATGTTACAACTGTTCAGGTTCCAGCTGAACCGTAAAGGCAGTCATAGCCAGCAGCAGTCACCCCTGTAGAAACAAGGAGGTCTAAAATGAAATCAGAGCACCCAGATAAGGATAAGAATGGAGGGCCCTCACAACCCAGAGGGGAGCCAGAGGCTGCAGTCACCACTGAGTCCCTGACGTATGAAACTCTCCGTAGTCTGCACAAAGACATTGTACAACGGGGACGTGAGGCTTGTACAACCTGGCTACTCCGGGTCTGAGACCTTATGGGTACAGGTGTCCAGCTGGATGGTGGTGAGGCAAGGAAGCCTTCACCCAGGACTCAGGTATGAATCAGGTATTCATAAGAATAGATTGTTGCATTAAACAACTTCTCAGTCTCAAAATAGCTTCACGTGGGAACCTGCAAATTGCTTGTTAGTTGCACTTAGAAGAATGGACTCTGACCAGCTCAGTGTGAGTTGTCAGCTGAAATTCAAGCTGTGCCTGCTGATTTACCATATCAATGGAGTCAGGGAGCATCGATTTCTCATCCTAATTGGAGGCTTTCCGTAAGTTAGAAGGACATCAGATCACTCAGAAAGATGCTGGATTGGATTAAGCAAGTTTAGAAGATCTGAAACCTCTCCTGGCCACACAAGCCTTTTGTGCAGCATCTTTCCTAGAAATAAACAAATTAGAGTCAAAATTTATAGGTTGGATGCATAGTTTAGGTTTGAATTTCCCCCTGATCCTTCCATGCAGAGCAAAGGAATTCCCCTAGCAGTGTCTGGGCTGTTCCAGGAGCAGATGCTCCCCCTTGGGGCTCTCCAGCTTCAACAGCACCTTAAACTAGGTGAGCCCACTCATCACTTTCTGTGATACAGGCATGGGATAAATGAAAGTGATTGAATTATCCAGTGTCTGGGGGTCACAAAACTGTCCTAAGCACTGATCTCTTTTCTCTGGTGACCAGTTTCAGGATTTTAACCTCCTCTGCTTCCTTTTCATTGCATTTGATATCACTGCAGAGTAAATCTTCACCTACTCCACCTGTGAGTAAAAAAAAAAAATCCTAAATTTGCATCACAAAGCTAGCTTTGAGTCAAGTATTAATTTAGTATCGCACTGTTGCAATGGTAGATGTATCATTGCACACAGACAAAGCGACTGAGTTCTGACTGAGCTAAATCTAAGTAACAATCACTAAAAAACATGCAAAAGCAAAGCAGACAAAGTTATTTATCTTTTCCTTTTTACGAATGACTGAAGAACTAGTGAGCATTTATTCTGTGGAAGATTTAAGGGTGAGCAAAGAAAAATGAGAAGTGTTTTCATCAGAGTATTTATAACAGTTTGGTTTTATTCAGTTTTGGGGGATTTCTGTACCTAATCTTTTCACTTTTGGGCCTGGAGAACACATTAGACAAAGGGTATTAATATTAAGAAGAAGCAGAGGTTTTTGTCTGCTTCTCAGAAATGGAAAAAATATATTTAAAGGATTTTAGCATTAATACATGCAACAGCCACAACTGAGTTTAAGAACCAAATGACTAATTCTGAGGAAATATGTAAATAATCTTCCTCACATAAACAGTCTGATTTAATATTGTGGTTATATTTAGGGTAGTGAAATTATATCTCTATGCATAGCTAAAAATGTATGAGTGCATGATTCAAACAATTTGGTTTTAAATCCTTTATATAAGGTTTAGGCCATAATACATTTAGGAGCATATTAGCTAAATTGACATGTGCAGTGGTAATGTTAGTCCAGAGCTCCTGTAATTGAAACACAGGGTTTGTATTTGCACAACAGGGTTTTAAAGAAGGAATATTTTTTGGCTTAGACATGTCCTGATTGTAAGATCCAGCTCAGAGCAATTTCCTACTGCAGCTTTAATCTCAGATCACAGTTTTAAAACAAGTCTCTTGTCCTCCCCAAAAACTGGATGAATTTAACATCCCTTTTTCTTATGCACAAGATCATAAAGTAGAGTAGTGGGCATGCTGCTATTATTTATTTATCAACTAAAATGCAAGTTTGACTAAGGCTAAAAAAAGTTTGAAATGTGCAGTGAATGGTTGAAATGAGCACAGGGCTGGAGCCATGGGAGCAGGTCTTAGCTTCTGGTGTGGTCATTCAAGAATTGCAGCCAGCTAATTGATTTTTTAAATTTTTTTTTTTTAGGAAAAAATTATGAAGGAGAGTTTGAAACTGGATGTGATCATACTCAGAATTTTCTTATATCTCTGAGTCTGCTGAGAGTCTGAAACAAGTGCTCTGAGCAAAGAAGCCAAGTATAAGCCATTTTCAAAACTTGTTACATGAAGAACAGAGAAGAAGAGGAAGAAAATGTCCAGCAAAATTGCTCTGCTGCTCTTCTGCTGTTCCAAACTCGGGAATCCAGCCCTGCTTCAGATGCTCGGTGGGGGTTCAGATGGCATCTCCCTCAGCTGCCCTAGTCCACATTGAAATGTCTTCATCCTTGTACCCGCTTTCATTTCCCCCCAGCAAGGGCAGAGTGAGTCACTGTGGTTGGTATTTCACCACCAGCAGAGGAGTGTTGGAGCAGCAGGAGCTCAGTGGCTGGGCTGGAGGGGCAGGCAAGGTGTGAACAGGAATGACTGGTTGAATGTAAGGGTGGGGAAATGGAGGCAAAAAAAAAGGTGCTCGTTACATTTTGGACAATATCTCTGCTCCACTTCAAGATGGGAAAACTGAGCCTGTGCCGTCTGATCACTTGCCAGATACTGGCTGAACCCTGGATAATTTTCTGGAGCTTTTCCTGTAGCTGTATTTTGAGGGGAGGAATTCTGAGCTCTAGCAGCTCTTAATTCTAGTTCAAATATCAGTGCCAGGCAGTCCATGGTGAGGAAAGACCT